GCCTCCATTTCTCTCCAGGCCTCCACAGGGGCTGCTGATCAGCCCCACCTTTCTGATCAGGCCCCGTTGATAGGACCAGAGATGCTGACTGGCATAGAAACTGACCAATCAGAACCAAACTTGGGTTAATGTAAGGAGCCAATGGCTGCCTAGGAGGCAGAGCTTTTGATGCTGACTGGCATAGAAACTGACCAATCAGAACCAAACTTGGGTTAATGTAAGGAGCCAATGGCTGCCTAGGAGGCAGAGCTTTTGATGCTGACTGGCATAGAAACTGACCAATCAGAACCAAACTTGGGTTAATGTAAGGAGCCAATGGCTGCCTAGGAGGCAGAGCTTTTGATGCTGACTGGCATAGAAACTGACCAATCAGAACCAAACTTGGGTTAATGTAAGGAGCCAATGGCTGCCTAGGAGGCAGAGCTTTTGATGCTGACTGGCATAGAAACTGACCAATCAGAACCAAACTTGGGTTAATGTAAGGAGCCAATGGCTGCCTAGGAGGCAGAGCTTTTGATGCTGACTGGCATAGAAACTGACCAATCAGAACCAAACTTGGGTTAATGTAAGGAGCCAATGGCTGCCTAGGAGGCAGAGCTTTTGATGCTGACTGGCATAGAAACTGACCAATCAGAACCAAACTTGGGTTAATGTAAGGAGCCAATGGCTGCCTAGGAGGCAGAGCTTTTGATGCTGACTGGCATAGAAACTGACCAATCAGAACCAAACTTGGGTTAATGTAAGGAGCCAATGGCTGCCTAGGAGGCAGAGCTTTTGATGCTGACTGGCATAGAAACTGACCAATCAGAACCAAACTTGGGTTAATGTAAGGAGCCAATGGCTGCCTAGGAGGCAGAGCTTTTGATGCTGACTGGCATAGAAACTGACCAATCAGAACCAAACTTGGGTTAATGTAAGGAGCCAATGGCTGCCTAGGAGGCAGAGCTTTTGATGCTGACTGGCATAGAAACTGACCAATCAGAACCAAACTTGGGTTAATGTAAGGAGCCAATGGCTGCCTAGGAGGCAGAGCTTTTGATGCTGACTGGCATAGAAACTGACCAATCAGAACCAAACTTGGGTTAATGTAAGGAGCCAATGGCTGCCTAGGAGGCAGAGCTTTTGATGCTGACTGGCATAGAAACTGACCAATCAGAACCAAACTTGGGTTAATGTAAGGAGCCAATGGCTGCCTAGGAGGCAGAGCTTTTGATGCTGACTGGCATAGAAACTGACCAATCAGAACCAAACTTGGGTTAATGTAAGGAGCCAATGGCTGCCTAGGAGGCAGAGCTTTTGATGCTGACTGGCATAGAAACTGACCAATCAGAACCAAACTTGGGTTAATGTAAGGAGCCAATGGCTGCCTAGGAGGCAGAGCTTTTGATGCTGACTGGCATAGAAACTGACCAATCAGAACCAAACTTGGGTTAATGTAAGGAGCCAATGGCTGCCTAGGAGGCAGAGCTTTTGATGCTGACTGGCATAGAAACTGACCAATCAGAACCAAACTTGGGTTAATGTAAGGAGCCAATGGCTGCCTAGGAGGCAGAGCTTTTGATGCTGACTGGCATAGAAACTGACCAATCAGAACCAAACTTGGGTTAATGTAAGGAGCCAATGGCTGCCTAGGAGGCAGAGCTTTTGATGCTGACTGGCATAGAAACTGACCAATCAGAACCAAACTTGGGTTAATGTAAGGAGCCAATGGCTGCCTAGGAGGCAGAAATGTGTGTGTGTGTGAGGGGGGGAGGGGAGAGAATGTCTGTTTTAAAAATATTAGTGATTATCTCTGGGTCATAAGATTAGAAGGATGTTTATCTTCTTCATCTTCCAAGTTTTCTAAAATGCATATGTATTATATAAACATATTTATAGTCATAAAATGCTATTTAAAATATTTAACTATATATAACATTTATAGTTAAATATTAAATCCTAAGAGGCTTTTTTCTATCACAGTAACTTTCTAGCTGATATTCCTTTTTTCCTCACCATTTATTCCTACGAATTTCTTTCTGACCTCATTTCTGTGTCTGTGCTCACACCTCTCAGTCCCCTCCCCCACACCCTCAGCCAGACCCTTTCACCTCTGTGTTCTCTCTGTGCTCCTATACACAGGGTGAGCTTTGCTCTCTGCTCTTCATTTCCTTATGGTTGCCATTTTCCATTCCAGTGCACTTTCAATTCTATTTTATTCGTGATTATTGATCTTGTTCTTCTTTTCTGGTGAAATTTTTATTCTAAAACACATCTGCAAGCCATTCATAGCACTGCTTGGATACAGTTAAACATTTCATCGACTGTGAGTTTTTAAGAATATATTTCTGTTGTATCTGTAGCTTCTCTTTGTGGTCTCTTTGAAAGCAAGTGCAAAACTTGGATACAAAAATATCATCCAAAAAAGTCATGCACAGAGGTCATAGCTATAGTCTAATGAATCCCATATCTGCCTCTGAAGGTTAACTCAAGGCACATTGTGTGGGTGAGAGTGATTGTTATCTCCTAAGGTAATTGAGAAGGTAGGAAGTCAAACATACCTCATTTTCCTTCTTAAACCCTTTTGAAGGTAACAGTTAACAAATTGTATAACCCTTTTCTGAAATTAGTTTCTTCTGCTTCTGCGCATCTCTGAGTTATGAACTCCACATGTGAATAGAGCAGATTTTTTATTTTATTGTTTCTATTTTTATTTCCTTGAGTTCCAAGTTCCAGAATTTGACATGTATCTCCTTACCCTGTTCCTTTGATTCCAATTTTATAGGCTTGGATTCCTCCCTTTCACTTTCCTCCTTTAGGACACAGTGATTGAAAGTTGTTTTACGAGTCCCTCAGAATGTCCCACCCTGTGCTTTGTTGAGTGCATGGCAAGCTCAGCATTTACTCCAGGCCTGTATGTGTGAGAGCACCACCACATTCTCTGTTTTATTTTCTACTTTCTTTCTTCTGGTATCACTGAACTTTTGGCTGCAGTGTCATTTTGGATCCATGTCCTCAGTTGTGAGAAACATCAGAGTCAGGACATAATCCTTGACATGCGGTGTGGGCCTTGTCCTAGGGGGAAAGCAGGCGTTAGTTGTAGAGATAATCCAAAATAGCTGCCAATGCTGGAGTCATCACTGGGTAATGATTTTGTAGTGTATCCTGTTATGTATGTCTATTTGCAGTTTACATGTACATGTAGGGTGATTTAACTGAGACCATTCTAGTGAGTGAAACGTTGCTCTGCTTTTCGAAAGCATACAAGACCTGATGGAAGGAAAGAGAGTGAAACTATTTTGTTGGAGGATAGGAAAATCCAGTCTGGGATTAAATTATTGTTGTAGATAATCTTCTAAATGAATTAATCCATGTGAATTAATTTAACATGTAGAATCAGCTGTGAGTGGAGCTCTGCTATCCCCAGTTTTTAAAAAAGGAGAGTAGAGAAGCCATCATTCAGTGAAGTTACAAAAGAAGTAATTAAAAAGCAACATGGTTTCTTTAGGAGAAACGAAAAGGAGTTGAGCTGGGTTTTGTCTCCCTCCCTCTCTCTCTCCCGCTCTCTTTCCCCTCCCTCCTTCCCTCCTTTCCTCACCTGGCTATATCTTCTAAGCTCCATAGGGCTCTGCCCCATAGGGCTCTGTCGTAGCCCTGCTCTATTACAGCACTCTGTTGTGTTTATATCTCTGTTTATGCACTGGTCTGTAGTCGACTTCAGGGAACACTCTACATCCCACTCATATCTTAGAGCAGTGGTTCTCAACCTGTGGGTCATGACCATCAGAAAACACATATGCATATCAGATATTTACATTACGATTCACAACAGTAGCAAAATTACAGTTATGAAGTAGCAACGAAAATAATTTTATGGTTGGGGGTCACCACAACATGAGGAACTGTATTAGAGGGTCGCGGCATGAGGAAGGTTGAGAACCACTGTCTTAGAGTGTCACATTGTGCCTTAAATATAATTAGCCCCTAACGTATATAAAAAAATATTTTTTATATGTTAAATATAAAAATATATTTTTATATATTAAGAATGATTTCATTATTTAACAACATGAAATACTATTATGGAAAGATGTTAAATAATTGTGCTCTAGGAAATAAGCATTCTTTGGAGAAATAGAGGTGGTTTTAATAAAAAAGATAAAAACATTTTCTAGACCTTATGGGTAGCACATGGTGAAATAGATTACCAACAAGGAAGGGAACTCTCCATCCCCGGAGATCCTTAAAAATTGGACAGAGAGACATCTGTGAGTAAGGCAAATAGGCAGACATAATGACCCATGGTTCTGTGATTTTTTGCCTGAAAAGAAGACTGAGGGGTAAGACATTAAAACTCTTTCAAATATGGAAAATAGCTCCTTTTGCTTTCACAGGAAAACAAGTCAAAGATGCTTAACCTAAAGTCTTAGAGATTTAGGTTACTTTGATAATTAGGGTTTTTAAAAATAGATTGTAAAAATCCTGTGGAAATCTTCAAAACAAAAGATTGATTTGTGTGCGATACAGAGTCAGCTCTATGATTCTGTTACAGTAAAAATACTTTTTTTTATATTATTCTGAACAGAGATCATTATTCCAGTATGTTATATTCAGTGCATAACATTCTCTTGGGAAAGAAAAAACGTATAAAAATAGTATCTTAAAGCATTAAGCATCATACTGTTTTGTGGACAGGAGGGTAGAACAGAGATAGTAAGTGTGAAGTTCTTCCATCTAAATACCTTTACAGTGTTGTGTTATTATATCTGAGCCAACATATGAGGGGGAGTCTGAGACAGATCTCTAGTCTGCTGGGTGAGCCTTATTTTGGCCATTAAAGCTTTTCCCAATGAAAATGGAGAGGAATTGCGGGGGAGGGGAGCTACAGAAATCCTGTCCAGACAAAGGGAACCAAAATACCTATTTCAAAACAGTCTTCTCAGGTATTTGATGTAATTTCTACCTGCAGCCACATGATGTCACAATTGGATTTTGATTTCACTGTGTATTTGTCTCAACAGATGAAGGCATTTTCAAAGCTGGAGAAGAAAGATCTGAAACTCGGGGGGCAGCAGAAGTCCAAGAAGATGAAGACACTCAGGTTGAGATTCCAGTTGATCAGGTAATCTCCTTGCCTATAAAAATATGTATAAACCAATTGCTACTATTTTTTATTTCAAATTTTTCATATGTTAGTTAAACCCTCTCAGGTACAGTGTGGCTGAAAACCTTAAAAACAAAACAAAACACCTTCATTTCTTTTTAGTTTTCCCACAAAGAATAGCCATTTGGATGGAGTCTTTTATTATGATGATGATGATGGAAAATGGTATATCTTTAAAAAGCAACATTGAAGAATATGGTGATTGGAGTTAAGAATGAGATATAAAGAGGGGGAAACTTGACACAGGAAAAAAAGAGTGTTGGCTTTGGGTTTTATCTACAAAAATAGTCCTCCTCTTAGAAAAGCAGGGTATTGTTGTTTGGTTTTGTTTTTAAAAAACAAAAATGTTTTCTCCTTTTGGGTCCTTGAAGTTGTTGTGATTGGAATTTTTGTCATAAATTAAGTACTTGTATAAATGCAACTCAAATATTTGCTATGTGTGTATTGATTTTATTTTTTAGGCCAGTGGAACACGGAAGTGTGTGTGTGTGTGTGTGTGTGTGTGTGTGTGTGTTTACACACATGTGCTTACAGAAGGGATTAAGCAATGTTAATTCTAGCTAAATGAGGCCAGAAATAAAACAGACTTTTTAACACAATTCAACCAGGTTTCTTACAATTCTGTGTGGAGGAGGGGAATTTAGGTGAGGAGGGGAAATCATAATCCCAGGCTCAAGGGAATGAGAAGTCACTAGGTATTGCCACTTGCCCTCTGACTATTATGTGATATTTCCCTTTCAAAAAGCAAATTTCACAATCCAGCAAATTCCACAGATGATCTTCTCAATGGTGTTTGCCTTCACAGTGAGGCAGTGCAGTTTCTGCTTGGTTATTGCACAGGCATTTTCTGTATCACCTTCCCAATGAAAAGCCCAATGTGTTAAAAACCACAGATTTCAAAAATCCAATTTATTATCTAGGCTTAGTTACAACTAATAATTTTTCATAAACTCCAGTGATAGGTATTTTTTCTGAGATTAAATGGAATTTTAAGTCTTCTGTGAAGCTGTAATTAAATATTATAAGACAAAGAAGGGTAATCATCATGAATATACAACACCTATTAGCTGCTAAAACCAAGACTAATTTATATTCCAAAGTCAGAATGCCAGATATCAAGAAAAGAATTGTAGCATTATTTCCAGAAGAGAAATCTCTTTGTTAAGCACTTAATGAGTTATGAAATCTGTGATAGGTATTTTTTACACATAAGTTTAATGATCATGACGAAGGGTGACTAGCAGGGGCATAGATCAGCCTGAGCAGCCTTGGGTAAGTGTTCGTCCGCAGAGCTTGATTTCTTATTTGACTGGAGAGTCCTAACTTATTAAAATACAAGTATGCAAAAGAGACTGATTAGACAGCTTTGTAAAGCTGAGCAATTTCAACTAATTTATATCAGTTTGAAGAAAACAAAACCAGGTAAGCAAAGGCCAGAATTATTTTCTTCTTTGACCCTATGATTTAATAGAGTTGGGATTGTCTGGCTCATGTGGTTGGCATGAGCTGCTATTCAGGTCAGGGTGTAGAGTCATTCTCTCTATGATTTAGTGACCTTTAGCTCTATATCCTAAGCAGCTATGTTATAAATATTGTCAAAAACCAAGTGAGAGTGTGGAGAAATTAGCGTAAAGATTCATTATAGTAATATTCATTACAGTAAGAACAGCTCTGAGGATGTGCCCTAGTGGCGGTCCTCATGGAACAATAAGTACTGTTCATTAAGTACCTACGAGTGCCAGGCACTGTAGTAGGCACTTTTATCTCATGTAATTGTGATAACCACCCTGTGAGACAGGTCTTATTATTCCCACTTTATATAGAGGAAGAAAGGGAGCTCGCATAGGTGGAATTACTTGTCCAAGATGGTATTGTCAAAGGAGTTGGGATTTGAATGCAGGTCTATCAAACTTCAAAGCACAGGAGTGATCTAGAAGAAGAGTAGTAAATGCAAATAAACAAATAAAAAACAGTGATTAACCCAGGGATTGAAAACATTCTTGCATCAGAAAGGAAATGTAGTCATCCTATATGATTTGGCTCAGCTATAAATGATACTTACACACACTCCCTTTCAGGCCAATCCTAGTTAACTACTTTGAGTTGGTTTCCTGTCATCTAAATGGTTCATGTTGTAACTTTAGTCAAAGGTCCATGAAGAAGGGTGTGTGTGTGTGTGTAAATATCATGTGCCAAGTAATTTATTGATGTCTGAAAAGCAAATCAATTTTTAGAAGTAAATATTAAGACCTCTGTTGGGAGCCAATGCTCTGTAGAGCTCTTGTGTTTCCCCACATCTTGTGAGTAGAGGCACTGATTGCCTTAGTTGTAGACTACCTTTTTAAGGATGTTTGTAGAGTGAACAGGCCTGAAAAACAGGGATAGTGACTTTCATGGGAACAGTCACTCTCAACTGGAGGTGATTTTGACAATATCTGAGGACATTTTTTGATTGTTATAGCTGAGAGAATCTATGGTTAGGAGCCAGGGATGCTGCTAAAATATCTTGTTACATAACAGCCCCCCCCACACACACACACAAGATTATTCAGTTCAAAATGTCAGTAGGGCTGAGATTGAGAAACCCTGCTGTAGAACAAAGGCGAGGTTTGTTTATTGTCTAGTATAATAAAGATAATGTCTCCATATGGTGTAAGTCTGGCAGGTTTACTATCCAACATAGAAGATTTGGTACCATTGAATTGTATACTCAAACCTAGTTAAAATGGCAAATTTTATGTTATGTGTATTTTGCCACAATAAAAATATTTTGAAATAAAAGATTTGGGTTCTCTAAGCTTTGGGTTCTGCCCTTGAAGAGCAGACTACTATGTAGATCACCTAACCCTATTCACATTGCCCTGGGGAGTGGGGCTTTGGGGAGTGAGTACAAGTGGTGATCTAGCTACTGACATTGCTGTGAGCAGTCGAGTCAGCTATCTCTGACCCAAGAGTCTCATGTCCTCTGCCAGCATCCATGAAACTGGCAGGCTGATGAGTTAGCTGGCAAGTGGGGTAACATTTCAGACCTTGATAGCCTGGCATCAACAAGTGTGTGTGTGTGTGTGTGTGTGTGTGTGTGTGTGTTGTTGTTGTTGTGTGTGTGTGTGTGTGTTTGTATGTTGTTGTTGTTGTGTGTGTGTTTGTATGTTGTTGTTGTTGTGTGTGTGTGTTTGTATGTTGTTGTTGTTGTTGTTGTGTGTGTTTGTATGTTGTTGTTGTTGGTGTGTGTGTGTGTGTGTGTGTGTGTGTGTGTGTGTAATGGGGCATCATGGCTAAATTCTAGCCAAGAAAGAGTCTGAACTCTGTCCCAAGATCCAGACTCTTCATTTTTTAGAGACAAGTTAATGATACTTCGAACTCATGGAAAAGTGAAGAATGTCACATTATGTTACATATTCAAGAAGGCCAGAACAAACATATTTTCTTAGGGGAGAGTTTAGGTCTAATAAGAATTTGGTACCCTTATTAGAGTACCATGCACATTCCAAATCAATCGGTTGTCCATAAGCAGTGGGACAGGTGCCTGGTGAGCTAATACCTATGGCTGTACCCTGGCACCAATGACTCAGGCGACAATATGCTCTATTTATAAAGTGATGCTTTTCCAGGCTAAGGAGTCAAGAAATGAGCTTGTTTCATTATATTTAAGTAAACTGCACCTAATAAGTGAGGATTAGGAAGGAGAAATCACCATATCAGAAACACAGGCAAATAAGTACCAATAAAACAGGAAAATAAGTAATTATGTTTCAGATTTTGTTCCATATGACAGAAGAGAGCACAAGATGGAGACAGTAACTTTAGAGTGATTTGGGGTTGTTTTATAGCATTCTCCCGTCAGTTTGTAGTTGATTCTGAGTAATAAAATAATGATAATTTCAAAATGTTTTTATGCTAAATAGTTTCATTAAGTAGCATTTAAGCCAGCATCATGAGCACTGGAGCAATGAAAGCTTTTTGCTTCTTTTAATTGTAGGTTGTGATTGAATTTATTTGTTCATTTGTGTGTTTGTTTATTTGTCTAAAACTTCTTAATTAAAATTCACATAAGATATTTTTAAAAGATGATAACAAAAATGGCGACCTCCCGTTTCACTTTTCCCCACCTTGATGCCTTCTCTACAGAGAAAACCTATTTGAACTAGTTTGTTGTTTCTCATGGAATACACTGCTATATTTCTACATCACCCCTCCCTTCCTCCCTCCCCTCCATTTTAATACCTCTGAGATATTTGGGTCTTACAATGTCAAACTATGTCATAGTTTAATTAGCTTTTTTCCCCCATTCTAAGCGGTACACAGAATGGACATCCTTTTAACTGGTGACATATCAAATTTGATAAACTACATTAACTGATTTTATTTTTCAACTTTAGGTAGTATTTACTAACTTTATCTCTAATGACTATGGAAGATGATTATTTAAATCTCTTACCAACTCCTTCCTGCTCTTCCTCCCCAAATAAGGCCATATGTGCACAAAACCTCACATGCATGCCTTTTCCCTTCTTCCTCTCCATTATAATTTTACTATTGGCTTGGTACATGGATTTGTGCACATTGAAAGGAAATTAATTAGAAGGTGGCCGCCGGGGCAGGACTGGGCAATACAGGCCGGACACGCCTGGAGCCAACCTCCCGTGGTCCCTTCCTAGCCAGCCGCACCTGGGGCGGTGCTGTGGGAAGGGCATCTGGGGAGTGAGCGGGGGTCCCTCCAGCAGGTGGGGTCCCTTGGCCTTGCCTGTGGGGATTGGGCCGAAACAGGCTCTCCAACATCCCCTAAGACAGCGGTTCTCAACCTGTGGGTCGCGACCCCTTTGGCAGTCGAGCAAACCTTTCACAGGGGTCACCTAAGACCACTCTGCATATCAGATATTTACATTATGATTCATAACAGTAGCAAAATTACAGTTATGAAGTAGCAATGAAAATAATTTTATGGTTGGGGGTAACAA